GCCGCGCCTGGGCAAGATGGCGGCGCCCGTGGCGGCGGGGCCGTGAGCGGAGGGCCATGCTGGCGCTGCGGACGGCGCTAGGCCGCTGCCTGGCGGGGCCGGTCCGCGGCGGGGCCGCTGTCCTGGGGAGCGTCCGCGGCGGCGACGGGGCCGGTGAGGCGCTCGGGGAGCTCGGCCGCACTAGAGAGGCCGCTGGGAGGGAGGGTGGAAGGGGAAGCGGGGGCCCGGCGAAGGAAGAGGAGGCCGGGCCGGGCGGCCTGGGGTCGGGGGTGGCCTGGGGCGGCCCTGAGAGGGGACGGGGGGCTCGGTGCCCCTGGGGGGACGACGTGGGGCCCTGCTGGGGAGGCAAGGCGCGGGCAGGACCCCGGGGTGTCCCTCAAGGCAGCGGGGCAGGACGGGGGGCTGCCCGCGGACCCTGCCCTGCGCACGGCGGGGACCGGCTGGGGCCGCTCCCGGGCCAGAGATCTGCTGTGAGCCGGGCCAAGGACGCGGGCTGGCGCCCTGGCCTGGTTTCTGCAGGCACCGTTACCGCACGGTAAGCGTGAGACGGGGCGCCGAGGCCCGTGCTCGACGCCTGTGCTGACAGCCCACGCGCGGTTCTGGTGCCTCACGGATCCAGAGCCGAGCTCGTGTGCTTCTCGGATGGTTCCGTTTGCAGGCGGGTACGTGGACTGGCAAAGCCTGTACCTGAAGACTTGTTTGAGGCGCGGGTGAATAATCTGAAGCAGGTATCGATTCTGGTAGCAGGGGCCTCGAAAGAGCAGTTGGAGGAGTTTGTTCTTGAAAGGTCAAAGAACGGCTCAGTTCAGGCTGGCTGATGAATATTCTCATCTGTACTAAGCTGTGCCAGTCAAAGGTTGTCTCTAGGTCTTGCTGCCTCTGCGCCCTGCTGCTGGGGTAGTCCAGAGCAGCCCATCTAACTCACACATGAAATTACTTGAATTAGTTCATCGGTTTAAACCCTCTAAATGAACACAGTTCAGCTGGGGAGCCCTCGCGCTCTCTGCTGTGTCTGTAATCTCTTCCTGCTGCCCTGTTCTGCTCACCTTTTGGGTTCTGATCACTGCGAAGCAGCACAGCTTTGCCCATTTATTTCAGCACCCGCATAAGAACCATGCTGAACTGTTCCACACTCCTTTGGGACAAAAGACCTGGCTAGCCACTGATCACCTTAGAGTCTAAGTACTCTGACCAGCTTTCTAGTACAGACTGAGCAGTATTTAATGTGTACATAGCTAAAAAAGTGCACACAAGTCTGATAAATCTTTGTTTTCTTCCACCAAGCTTGCAGTCCCTTTATTCAGACAGCCAGATGTTATGCCAGACCTGTGAGAAGAAAAAGGAAAGGTACGTCGGGATTAGTGGGAACACGTGGCAAAATGTTCTACTGTTGACGTTATCAGAGTTGTACCCTAATGCTGCAGGAAGAGGGGGTATTTGGAGAAGTTAGTGGTTTTCACTTTAAAGATGCAGAACTCATCATGAGAAGAGAGATAAAATATAATCCCTGTTACAGGATTCTGCAATCCTACAGCTTCTTGACGCGTAATTACAAGGGTGAGGGAGCCAGACTCTTCTTGGTAGCGCCAAATGATATAATGAGGGGCAGTGGTCCCAAATAGCAGCTCAAGAGATGTTCCAGCTGGATACAAAACGAAAAGGGATTCACTGGGAAGGCAGTGCAGCGTGGGGACACGCTTCACAGAGGGGCTGTGGAATATCCTCAGAGGTTTTCAAGGCTTTGCTAGACAAAGAAATGATGATGGTCCCACTTTAAAGGGGAGATTGGACTAGAAACTTCATAAGGTCCCTTTGTAAACTTTTTTGTGGTTTTGTGGTTCTAGAAATAATTCCTTGCAAGCTCAAAAGTTACCCAGAAAATTCAGCAGCTCATGAACGTGTGGGAAATTAGCAATTGTCATCAGCAAGAGATCAGTGATCTCAGTAGACTATACGCCATGTTGTAAATCCAGAGTGCTGAAGGCAAGAGACGGGACCCAATTTTATTCACTCAGTTCTTGCCATCTCAGCTTCATCTCTTAAGTTCTTCCTTCTTGTTTGGAGCGTACAGCCTACTCTTTGCAACTTGTTTCCTCTGATCTAGTTTGCAAGCATGTTCAGAGCTCTGACTTTGTACTGCTCTTCCTCAAATGTTAATCTTCTCTTTGTAGACATCCCCAGCCATTTGGATGATCTTCCTCCCACAATGTTGAAGAAAGATTATGCCAATGTCCCAATAATAAATAGGTATGATGCAGGGAAAGGGAATGACTATTCTCTTCAGAGATTTGTGTCTTACACACACACAACCACAGTAGGTGGAAGCTGTCACCTGCTCAGTAAGTAATTAATGCTCCGCGGTCACTGGTGTGCAATTTAGCACAAAAATTGCAAAGTCGTTTTGAAAGTCAAATTTGCAAAAGCAGTCACTGATTAGGGTTATGTAAGGGTTTTGTCTACTTAATGTAAGATTAAGTGCTGTTTGCCCACATCTGTGGGCTTTGTAATCCACAGAAAGAAGAAATAAACTTGAAATACTAAAAATAATCTTCTTAGAAATAATCTGTGCCTGTCTTGAACTCAGGTGCTAGGGAGTGTGTAGTTAAACAACTCAAAATGAATGACTGCTGCTGAAATTTGGACCTGGAGTTCAGCATTTTTGTGCTTTGATTCTGGAACTGCTCATGTGTGGTGCATGGAGAGCCCCCAGTGGCATAACTGAGACTTTCACAGATCTTTGAAGGAGCCAGTCTTAAAATTAATTATTTTGTCATTGTGCACTTACTTGGGGGTTAATCTGTAGCACCTGATTTGCACATAATGTTTTTGGAATTGATAAGACTTCATCATCATTTGAAATAACTGTGCTTCCCACAGCAGCAAAACTACTTGATGCTTCTGTAATCTCAGCCATGATTTTTCTTAGGAACACAAGAAACAGTTTATGGCTGACAGCTTTGGGAGGAGAGGAGAGTTGCTGTAAATTTGTAGAGTAAATTAAAGTTGCAAAAAGTTAATATGTTCTGAAAACCTAACCTCGTTTTTGTTATTAAATATACTTCGTTTCTAGCTTATAAACTAATCTGCAATCTCCTTGCAGTGTTGATGATGTAGTGAAAAGACTCTTGTCACTGGAAATGGCAAGCCAGGTTAGTTTCATTCTACTTGCGTAAAAAAACCTAGAAGATTTAGTGAGCACATTTGTGTAAGACTGGTCTATATTGTTAAATGCCCTTCCCTTACTTTATTTTTAAGTGTTGCTTGATGACTGCAAATCTGAGGCTATTAAATATATGAGAGTGATAAGTCTTGTGTGCTCTTAAAATTTATCATGCAGTCTTCTTTATGATAATAATTGCATACTAGAACAAGAGAAGAAAATATTAGGCAATCAGAGGGGAGATGAGCTGTGTTATGTTACTGCTGACGGTTGGCCTGTGTTCTAGAAAGTCATACACTGGACAGCAGATGTTCTCCAAATTACTTTGTTTTCTGGGCATACAAAAAGTAAAAGTAAGCAAATCATAGGATAGCACAAAGATCTTATGATTTCTCGCTACTTACCACTTATGCTTAAAACAATGCGGAAAGTAAAGGCTACTGCCACGTGAGATCAGCTTCGGTTCTCTCTCCTATTCATGAGAGCAGCGGGGCTTCTTCAACACCCGTCTGTAATCTTGGGATGAAGGGTGTGCCTGGACTCTTGGTTTGAACAGTGGTGATTCTGTGTTCTGCTGAGATCTTTTTGTGCTGCTTCACTGCTGAAGTCTGAGCACTGTCCTGCAAGCAGCAGGTCCTTTTTTGCAGCGCTGCTTACACATTTGGTGACGGACACCAAGTAAAGCTGTTAATTACAAAGCCTTTATCTGGGCATTTGGGAAGAGAGCTGGGCTGTCTTAGACCTTTAGTGTTCCTGAGAAAGTGAAAAGCTCTTTTCTGTTATCCACAGAAGGAGAAGATGAAGATAAAGACACAGCAGCTGGTGGAAAAGGTCAGGAGGTCTCCCAGTGACAGTGGTTCCTTTGAGGTGCAAGGTAAGTTAAAAAAGTAGAAGGATATTGTTGGCAGCTGGTACATCTCAGCTTTTATTCAGCTATTCCCACCCCAGCCCTTCAAGTTTCCTGTATCAGGAGCATCTCCTTCAGGAGAGCACCCAAGAGGCAGGTAGCCCGCAGTATGCCCTGGAGGACCCATTCAGGGTTTGGGGACGTTGCAGAGGCAGCACATGCACTTGCTGGCAGATGTCTGCTAGGGTGCTTTCCAAATTCCTACTCCATATCCACCCTCCAAAGGCAGCGTGTGCATTATTCTGCTTGAAGTGCTTATGTGACATGAAGCATTACACTGCATTCATCACCAAAATGAACTACTAGATTTAGCCATGGAACCCGAATTTCCCTCTGCATCGGAGAGCTCTGGCTGAAGCGCAGTGTAGGCCAGATGAAGGCCATGCTGACATTGACCAAGATGCACTCCCTTATCAGCCGTAAAGACCTTCCGTTTCTCAGGATGCCACCAGTACCTTTCTCCAAAGCCTGAAATCACAAAGAGCTGGCTGCTGCTCTTAGAAAGAACCTCTTAATTTGTCTCTCTTCCTCCAAAGCTTAAACCAAGTGAAGTGAAATGAATGTAAAGTCACCAGTAATTAAGTGAGTGCAAGAGGTATTTTACAAATAAATTCATATGATCTATTGTTAAAATTTCAAGCTCTAATTAAGCAGCTTCATAATAGTCATAGTTCTGACTCAGGTTATGTAGGTTGTATTTTGTGGTTTGTTTTGCACTTACTCAGAGGGCCGTGTGGTAATATTTGCTGTGGTGCAGTGGGTACCCATTAGAACAGCAGTCCTCAGCTGGCAGTTTGAAGGGGATGTAGATGATACTGTCTCACCCTGGAAAGCTGCTGCTCTCACACGGTTTCTTATGTCTGTTCTTTATAGTTGCTATATTGACTGCCAAGATACGCACTTACGAGGAACATTTGCAGAGGCATCCCAAGGTAACTATTAGTAATCTGAGCCCACACATCTGAGACAGCAGCTGTTCAGGTTGTTCTCTCAGTTTAGAACAAAAGGATTCTAATTCTGGGGATTATGGCTTTCCTAAGAAGGTTTATGAAATAGTTACAACTGTTCATGGTGCCAGTCTGGGAAACTGCTGGCTCAGTCACAGCTACATTCTCACTGACTAAAATGTGGAGTGTGTTCTTTTTTGTTACTGGATTGGTGGAAATAGCTGAGCAGATACCTTTGAACGGAGTTTAGCTAAATTTATCCTAGCTGCAGCTGTGGCTTCACCGCTTAGTTTTCAATGTAATTAATGTTATCTCTTCAGCAGCTGCATTCTCTCTTTGTTCTGCCTATGGACATGTTGAGCGGACAGGACTGTGTTAATGTCGTAATGACCACTTTCCTACCTAAACCTACCTGGGTTCAGAGCCCAAATTTGAAACATCACAACTATGAGTTTATGAACAAGAAATATTAAAGATTCTTTATGCAGTGCAAAAGGTGGGAAATAGATTAATCAACTGCATTTGAAAAAACTGCATAATTATTTGTTAATCATAAAAGCTTGAAGGGTAAAACAGAAAAGAATTCACGTTTTAGAAGAAGCCAGCAGTTGTACCAAATATTTCAGCAGAGGAGACTTTTTGAAATTACTTGGATGAAGCCTTGTTTTTACACAAATTGCTTATATAGGGTAGGGAAATTTCTCCCATGGGAGATTGCCCTGAATGGCACGGCTCAAGCTACACGTATTCTCTTCCAAAGAACAACCCAGACGGTCAGATAGAGCCAAGTCACATTTTATTTTCACATTAAATTTCTGGAAAACCAAAGGTAAATGCTTCTGTGTTATTTCTGGAAGAATATATTTCAGGAGAAGCAGAGTTTTTAGCCAGCAGACCTTCACTACAGCCTCTGCCTTCAAGCCGTTGCAGCTTTTGCCACCGCCTGAAACTGCATACAAATTGAAAACAGTCTTCAGGGTTGGGGGAGGAAGGTGCAGACACGGAATGAAGAAAGCAATTTAAGTGAAAAGTAAATTAAGTCTTCTTGGATCTCCTTGCAGTGACCTAATGTGCTTGCAGTATCTGCCAAGAAAAGTTGTTCTAAGATACTGTCCTTAACCTGATTGTTTCCTTTCAGCCATAATCTGGTCTATTCTAAGTAATTTATTGGAATGGAAGTATAATCTGTCTACAATCTAGTGAACGCTAAGTCCTTTGCAGGATAAAAGAAACCGTCGTTGCATGCTGATGGCTATAGATTGCCGGAAGAAACTACTTGCATATCTTCGCCGTGTCCGCTATGATGCCTTTGAAAACACCTGCAAGCAGTTGAATATCCAGTACACCCTACCCCCTCTCCACCGCAGAAGGATCACCAAGCGCTGGCTTGTGAAGAAGGCTTTCTGCCGCAAGGTATGGAGCAATCTGGAGAGAGCGCCACGTAGCTGGAGTAGAAAAAAAATCTCTTTATAGAAGGGCACAATTAAGACAGTTAGAAAAGACTGATAGGTAAATCCTTTTAATCCATGCTTTGAATTTGAGGAGACAGTGATAATGTCTGTAGAGAAATGCATAAGCTCAGCAAAGAGCTCCATGAAAGACAGTTGTGTAATGGGCAGTGACACACGTGCTGTGCTTGAGAACTTCAGATTGTGCTACTAGTTTGCTCAGAAATGTATGATTCAAACCAGCTTTTTTTCAAAGCCTGGTATGGGGACTAATATGTGAGACAAAGTTGATGGTAGCTTTGGAACAGAAACGTGGGTATGCCCACTGTCTACTTTCATTTGCGCTCAGTACATCAGTGTAACTGCTGTGTGCAGTTGGTATAACTGAGCAGAACCAAAAAGCTGGACATGCCTTCAGTCTCTAAATACTAAATTTCAGTCCAATGAAAGTATAACCAAAAGACTGGGTAGCTGTAACGGAATACCTCCAAATGGTACCCTGAAAACAGGGCTGTCTGGAGTCCTGGAGGAAGCACAGGGGAAGGAGTTGATCTTGCTGCGCAGCATCCCTCCTGGCCTCTGTGTGCAGCAGCGAGGAGCTCTGCTCAGCAGCAGGCAGCTTTGTCTCTCCCCTTCTCTCACCTCCTTATGCTCCTCCCGCAGGTTTTTGAGGAGATGCGGAAGCTGAAAGCACCAGAGAGGCTAAAGCAGAGAAGAGAGTGGCAAGCAAGAGCGAGAGCTGCAAAGGAGAAACAGGCGCAGTGCGAGGGGACGCCTGTGTAGCGGCACGTTGAGGCTGACGCAGCCAGTCACTAACAATAAATAACGACCTAAAGACCTAAAGCCTCTTTGCTTACGTGCATGCGTGATCTGTGCCGTGGTGAGCACCCGGAAAAGTGCAATGAGTGGTTTAAGCGTTTTAGAAGTTTATTTTAAGGCTGATGGCGCTGGACTGAGCTGTGATCAGTTCGATCTCTGTGAGAGGAGTACCTGGGCGGACTCCCCCATCGCCTCGTGGCAGGGAAGGCAGGCACATTCAAGCGAGAACACCTCCGAGCGGTGCCTGTCTCCTGTCAGTGCGCAGCAAGCCTGTAGGATTGTGCTGTCAAATAGCATTGACCGAGCAGCTCGCAGCATTTGGCAGGGATTTGGGCAGTGGGCTGACAAATGAGGAGAGAGAACGAGGCAAAATGCTGCTTGTTTGGAAACAAAGCAGCCCTGACAGTCGCTCAGAGTGCCATTCCTTCTCGCAGGAAAACGCGGGTTGATGGGGAGCTCTGCAGCTGTGGAAATCATGCTGACAATCAAGTCTGTAATTTCCCAGTGGAGTTACACATTTACATTGGTTCTCTGGCACTCGCTCATCCCTCTGTCATTCTCAAACTCGGTGGTTTTGTGTGTTACACCAAAAACGCCGTTGACGGTGACTGAAGGAGAATTACCAGTACGACGGCCGTGGCGCCTGTGGGCCAACCTTCCGCACCTTTCAACAAAGCCTCCCCAGGCTCCTGACCGTGGCACGTGCGGTTGTCCTGCGGGGCTCCGGGTAGCACCGAGCTCCTCTTTGTTGCCTTGAGGTTATTTTAATCATTTCCTTTCCCGTTCTTTGTTTGTTTGTTTGGGGTTTTTTTCCCGAGGCCGCCGTTGGGGAATGGGCCCAGCGCCTGACAGGGGCCTCGCAGGCGCAGAGGCGGGGCTTGCGCGCGCGCGCCTGCGTGCCCCGGCCGGCCAAGACGGCGCCTCCCGATTGGCCCCTTGGTTGCCGGGCAACGGCGGCGGCGACGGGGGTCGGCGGTCGCCATGTCGGCCCGGACGCTGCCGCTGCTGTTCCTCAACCTGGGCGGGGAGATGCTCTACATCCTGGACCAGCGCCTCCGCGCCCAGAGCATCCCCGGGGAGAAGGCCCGCAAAGGTGAGCGGCGGCCGGGGCCCCTCCCGGAGCCGGTCCTGCCGCCGGGAGGGGGGTGCCCCCTCCCCGCGGGGATGGCTCCGGTCGCCGGGGCCTGTCCG